CATTGCATATTTTCTGTACGAGTTATATTTTCGGATATCTATGGGACGAAGTCAACATCTCATTCTGCCAAAATCGTCTTACTAGTTTTTTCAAAATATCTGTATTTTTAATCCTCGCAGAGCAAAAACAAAAGAGAGCGATGTTATAGAAGATTAAATTTGGCACAACTTTTATCATTGCATATTTTCTGTACGAGTTATATTTTCTGATATCTATGGGACGAAGTCAAGATCTCGTTCTGCCAAAATTATTACTTTTTCTACAATATTCTTAAGCCTCGCAGAGATCAAGCGAGGTCACTTGTTGCCGAGTGCTACATTGCCTTCGGCAACAACATTTGGCAACAACATTCGACAACTACATTCGGGTTGATATATTAATTGTTAAGCCTGGGTTAAAAACGAGAATATTAGGCGAAATGAAATTAAAGATTAACTGAGGCCACTTACTAGCGAGGCGCTACACTGTATTGATGCCAATAAGCGACCTTGACTACCCTATTAATATATAAAATAACATTATTTAAAGTTACAATAAGTTTAGTTATAAAAAGATAAATTATTTTGATTGTATTAATTTAACTGTTTAATAAAATATTTAAATGTGTTTAAAAAAAAAATAATAAAAAAAAAGGTGACAGTATATGTGAGGGACATCCGGTATGGAATTTTGTAGCGTTGAAAATCCATTTAGGTTGAAATGGTCGTCGCGTATTTAATTATAGGTATTTCGGAGGCAGGCGTGAAACGAGGTTTACGCGTTTGGTTTTATGGACGGACGCGGAAAACAATGCGCGCCGAAATATCTCATCAGTATAATTGCCGGGTCGAAAAAAAAGAGCGTAAAAAAAGTGGGGATAAAAATTGTTCCACGTATGCGATGATGGGGAGGTAGGATTGAGAGGATTGCTGGGGGGAAATTTGGTCGTAGGTGACGTACTGCGGGACTTTTCCGGGGATGATTGGCATGTATTTGGGCGGCTATTTGATTAGGGTTCGCCTAATGATACGTGCAATTTCCTCATATGCGCCGGACAATGTCACGTGAGTCGAGATTACTGTATTCACGGGTTCCACCCCAACAAATAACTTTTGATGAGCGGTGATACGTTTCCATTCCGGTCATCGGCCATGCAAATTGTCTATCCTCTCTTTCGAGGAAGGGTTGCTTTTACCTCCACCTCCGTTTCCCACTTTCAACTTCGGTGCCATCCAACAAACCAACCCCCTCCTGCGTGAATTAACATATGAATTGCTGCCAAGGAGTCGATGTAAACTTCTTAATGGCTGGCGTAACTTTAACGAACACTAAACGCCCAGCCGAGTCGTTTACAAGTTTGTTTATGGAGATGCCTGATTTATTACTCTTGCAAACCGAGTGCGAACCCTGTTTAATACAAAAGGAAATACTATGCCCTCGAAATTTTCGTTCATTCAAATTTGCCTCGGCAATGATGGATTGGGCTGTCGGTCAATTTTTTTTTTCCCGCGTCCCCAATTTTGCGGCCAGCTATAGATACTACCGGTTAATCTTTTTCGATAGAATTTATTCGGTTATCCATCATCTTCCTTTAACTGGGGATTACAAACTTGCCCTCGAAACGTTTGCAGACTTTATGGTTTAATTCCTTTTCAAATTAAACCATCAAAGAACTTTCTGATTATTTAAACATAAATGTTTATGGATTATTTGAATATTTCGTGAATCGAAGGTGTAATTTGTATAATGCATGAAATGTAACCACATGTTCGTTCGATAGCACAATCATGCGAACCCATAATTAGACCTTCAAATTGAATTATAATATCCTTCCGGTTGCAAAGCAACAAGTTGGAGAAGGGCGTTCCCACTCTGAGGCCATTGAAAAAGCTTCGATTGAGCAAATAAATTTTGAAGTAATTAAGTTTAGGTCGCGGTGATGGTTGTATAATGATCGGTAATTGCAGGATGCGTATTTGCGCCGCAAATAAGCCATTTCAAATGTTTGATGTTTCGACAGGAATTGGTAAATTTAATAAAACGGTTTCGGGCTTAATGGCTGATATCAGAAAATCGACATCTAATGAAGGTAATTGTCCCGATCAGAAATTGTGAGAATTGAAACAAATGGCGATGGACGTTGATGATTTGTAATTTTAGTTTTTTTTTTGTTTTGGGGGTGGTATACAGATTTTCCGAGTGTCCGTTTCAACGTCGAATTTCCCAAGGGATTGTATCCAAAACGTGGGGGGAGGAACAAATTTATCAAACCCCATTCCATTGATCGTTCCGTTTAGAACCGATTCATCTTTTTCAATGGCGTTGCAGGTGCAGTTTATTCATTATTCGATTTTATCGGCCAACCCTGCTATTTATCCCCTGTTTCGTCATGTTAATGATAAATTCCACGGTCAACCCGCATACGCGACGCTATCTGACGTTTTTCATTATTTAGTTTTCCGCCTGACTAATGGCTATTAATAATTCCCCAAAAACTATTTGCCCAAAACAATCAATCAATCACATTCGACCCTCCCACAAAACATCATTACATATAAAAATATTACGTCCAACTTATTTTTCTTTGGCTTTTTTTTATAAAACAAATGATTTATTGAATAATATACGAAAAAAAAAGAGTTGATATAAAAAAAATTTATAAAAAAGATAAAATTTCGATAAAAGTCGAAAATATCAAATTCTACAATATCTATATTCCAAAGCTTCGCAAAGCAAAAACAAAAGAGAGCGATATTATAGAAAATTTAATTTGCCACAACTTTTATCATTGCATATTTTCTGTACGAGTTATATTTTCCGATATCTATGGGACGAAGTCAACATCTCATTCTGCCAAAATCGTCTTACTACTTTTTGCAAAATATCTATATTCTTAAGCCTTGCAGAGCAAAAACAAAAGAGAGCGATGTTATAGAAGATTAAATTTGCCACAACTTTTATCATTGCATATTTTCTGTACGAGTTATATTTTCTGATATCTATGGGATGTTGTCAGTAAACATTTTGCCAAAGTCGGCTTACTACTTTTTCCACAATATCTGCATTCTTAAGCCTCGCAGAGCAAAAACAAAAGAGAACGATATTATAGAAAATCAAATTTGCCACAACTTTTATCATTGCATATTTTCTGTACGAGTTATATTTTCCGACTCCTATGGGACGAAGTCAACATCTCATTCTGCCAAAATCGTCCTACTACTTTTTTCAAAATATCTATATTCTTAAGCTTCCCAGAACAAAAACAAAAGAGAACGATCTTATAGAATATTTAATTTGCCACAACTTTTATCATTACATATTTTCTGTACGAGTTATATTTTCCGATATCTATGGGACGAAGTCAACATCTCATTCTGCCAAAATCGGCTTACTACTTTTTTCAAAATATCTGCATTTTTAAGCCTCGCAGAACAAAAACAAAAGAGAGCGATCTTATAGAAAATTAAATTTACCACAACTTTTATCATTGCATATTTTCTATACGAGTTATATTTTCCGATATCTATGGGACGAAGTCAACATCTCATTCTGCCAAAATCGGCTTACTACTTTTTTCAAAATATCTGCATTTTTAAGCCTCGCAGAACAAAAACAAAAGAGAGCGATCTTATAGAAAATTAAATTTGCCACAACTTTTATCATTGCATATTTTCTGCACGAGTTATATTTTCCGATATCTATGGGACGAAGTCAACATCTCATTCTGCCAAAATCGGCTTACTACTTTTTTCAAAATATCTGCATTTTTAAGCCTCGCAGAACAAAAACAAAAGAGAGCGATCTTATAGAAGATTTAATTTGCCACAACTTTTATCATTGCATATTTTCTGCACGAGTTATATTTTCCGATATCTATGGGACGAAGTCAACATCTCATTCTGCCAAAATCGTCTTACTACTTTTTCCACAATATCTATATTCTTAAGCTTCCCAGAACAAAAACAAAAGAGAGCGATCTTATAGAATATTTAATTTGCCACAACTTTTATCATTGCATATTTTCTGTACGAGTTATATTTTCCGATATCTATGGGACGAAGTCAACATCTCATTCTGCCAAAATCGTCTTACTACTTTTTCCACAATATCTACATTCTTAAGCTTCCCAGAGCAAAAACAAAAGAGAGCGATCTTATAAAAAAATTAATTTGCCACAATTTTTATCATTGCATATTTTCTGTACGAGTTATATTTTTCGATATCTATGGGTCGAAGTCAACATCTCATTCTGCCAAAATCGGCTTACAACTTTTTTCAAAATATCTGCATTTTTAAGCTTCCCAGAACAAAAACAAAAGAGAGCGATATTATAGAAGATTAAATTTGCCACAACTTTTATCATTGCATATTTTCTGTACGAGTTATGTTTTCCGATATCTATGGGTCGAAGTCAACCCATTCTGCTAATGTCTGATATAAAATCGAATGTTAAAATGCCAGAAAAATTTAGTAATGGCTGATTAATAACTAATTCATTTTTGACATCGTGCAAAATTTCTTATCGACTGCGATTAAAACAATCGTGTTAAACGTGCAGAGTTAAGCAACAGATAACCCTAAATACTTGACATAGTGAATAAAGATCTTAATTAAGATACATCAAATAATTGGGTACCAAGTAGGAAAGAGTAAATTGCACCCGGTGACCTGCGCCGTAAACTACTATTCTTATTATACTTCACAAGTCAGTAAATAACGGAGCTTAATTTTTTCGTCGTCTGGTCACATGTTTTCAAAACGATAAAACGTACGGACCGCGTGTTAGGTTATTTTTTAGCATACTCCCTATGTTTATAATTCCTTCAGTGCTTGTTGAGCGCACAAAGAGAGCTTTGTTATGGTTTCGGAGAAAATAACGTTCTGGCATTATATATATTTTATATATATATATAAATTTGTGAATTACACATCATTGTTATTCATAAAATAAGACCACTTTCGATTTCGTGGTCGTTAATAGAATGCGAGGTTTGCCTTCCAACGACATGGTAGAAGGAGTGGAGGTAGAAAACTTTCACTAAATAAATTTTACAGTCGGACTCTGACTTATCCAAAACCATTGACCAGTTTCACTCCGACACAGACCCGAATTCCTTCCCGGTCAAAATGAAGACCACGAAATTAATCCTATTCACTTTCGTCCTTATCAATATATTTTTGTTACAATTGGTGCCATCAGGAAATGCTCAACAATCTTCAATACAGTTACCGGTCGAACTTGTGGGATTTCCCGTCATTATCCTTGCAGTACGATTATCAAATTTTGTCAAGAAACTCGCCTATTCTTTAAATCCGAGTAAGTTTAAAGTCAAATAAGATAAAAAATCCGGGTTAAGACCTTGCTATTTTACGTTCTATTTACTTTCGCTTTTTATAGTTTTGGATTAATCAATTTGTAATGGACCAAAACTAAACAATTTTTTCTAATAATTTAAATAATTATTATTTTAGGTACTTACATCTCTAGAAGTAAAAGAGGAATATCTAACGATGATATGATTGATATGTTAGAAGCAGAAAAACGTTTAGTATCTGAATTAGGTGAAAATGTTTGCATATACACTCGAGTTTGTCTTCTTCACGCAGATAAAGCAAAAAAATCGATTGGGAAAAAGAATTATTCAGTAAATTGGGATGAAGTATTTAGGTATATATATTTTTTATTTCTAGAACTTTTCAATTTCTAAGATTAAAGTTGGAGTCCCCGAAGGGCGATTTATTGTTGCGATTTTAATTCCGAAATTGCTAATAAATTTGAGACGTCGCCGGCGTCGCGAACGTCGATAATTTCACTACACTTTCACGATGTTGTTAATTCGCATGCATCATCATTCGCAGGTGGTGAAAGTAATATTGTTTTTCAATTTTACAGCCATTACAAAACCACCAGCGACAAAAACAAGGAGTTCTATCTACTCAGCATATTTTTGGGGGATTTTATTGCCTCGCCGAAATTTTGTAATTTATTAGCGAAAAGAGGAAGAGCTTGTAATGATTAAACAATGATTTAGTTAATTTTTAATTTTGCTCAAAGAATTTTTTATTTAATATTACGTTTTGTAAATAAAGTAGTTTTGTTGTTAGAATTTGTTTTTTTTTAACAATTTATTAAAAAAAAATTATAAATAAAGGGGAGGTTAATAATTAATTAGAGAGTATATCGATGGTTTTTAGTGATGCATCATCCTTTCGAAAAGGGAATGGGTAATCACCCTCGCAAAATGCATATAACGAACGCTTTCGCCCTGGACACAAATGGGCAATTAATTTTGCAGTTTTGATATTTCACCATTAGTTATGATTACCGTTAAACAATTTCAAGCGCGAACGACGAGGATTACGGCAATAGCGGCTAATTGGGATATAATTGAACCTGGTATATTGGAAATGATGCTTTAACCATGAAATATGTCATTGTTTTTGATGTTTTAATCAATTCTTAGAAAATTAATTATTTATTTAAAATAATTTCAATATATATACACAGTCGATTACTTTTTTAACTGATTTTTTAACAGACTAGATTCGTCTTTAAAAAATTAAAACTTTTAAAGCTTCGTATTCACAAAAATTGTTCACAAAAAAATTGATTTCATCTCATTCGGACTTTTTTCATCATTTGTAACACTTGCAAACCGGGAAACGGGCATGATGGATAAAAATTGTGGCACCCATTTCCGTCGACTCCGGCGATCAATTGGCCCATGTGAGCCGCAAAATGGTATTTGGATGTTAATTCCGCTGTCGCAGTGATCGATGTGTCCCTGAAATCAACAAAAAGGTGCGAAAAATTTTAATAAAACGAATTACGTAAGTTGTTACGGAAGAGAAAGTTAAAACGAAGAAGTCTTGTTATGGAGAGCGTTGTGTACCGTAACAACTTTCGTTTTCTTCATCATTCCGTGACTTAACTGTTATACAAAATTAGAACTATTACCTGATCAACGACAGCAAAGATCTCTCAGATTCCGTTAATTTTTCCTTTTGCGGCGTTGCATTTAATTCGCATATCAATTTTGGAAGGCACGCATTTTTAATTGTTGATAAAATTTGTAATTTTGATGTTGAAGGACCTTAAAGAAAATTATTAAAAAACAATTTAATCAAACAAATAATTTTACCTAATTTTTGCAAAGTATCCTCTTCAATATCAGCATCTAAATCAATTTCTGGTTTAGCATCGCCATAACCAGGGTTAGACGGTCTAGGTCCGTGGTTAGACGAGCCTTCGATCACCTCCTGGTTGAAAATTTTGTCGATAAGTCCGCTGTAGTCGCCTAAAGCGATCAGGACCACGCACAACACTATGATCACCCTCAAAATTGTTTTTCCCGTGAACGCCATTGCCGCGTATCTGTATCAGAGTACGCCAAAGACATCTTTGAGGCAAACTCAAAGGCTCTCGTTTATCCTTGCGGCTTTGTCCCCGCTCCCATCTGAACCAAGTGAAAGTGACTAAAAAACCAACTACGTAACGTAGTATTCTTGTTACGTAGTCTTACAATCGGATCAACCTTGAGAAACTATTTTATATTTTTTCTCATCTTTGAAAACTTCTACAACATACGTTTTAATCTAGAAATCATTCAGTAATAAGGATTACGCAATAAGGACCTTCAAGTTGTTTTCCTGTATATTTTTCCCAAATTAAACACAAACAATAAGTAATTTGAATCTCTATTGAAATGGAACCAGTTATTCATTATATAGCACTGATAAAATAACAGTATATCTAATGGCTCAATTAATAAACATTATATAAACTGAATTATATCAAAAATTGTTTCGAATAAAAGTTGTTACAAATTCAATTTTAAATAAATAATCTTAATAAAAAAATTTGATATCTCTTCTAGTTAAAGCTGTGTACTGGTATAATTTTAATCGTATAAACCGGGCTTAATTAAAAAAGTCGATTATATTAAAAATTTCTTCGAATAAAAGTTGTTACAAATTCAATTTTAAATAAATAATCTTAATAAAAAAATTTGATATCTCTTTTAGTTAACGCTGTGTACTGGTATAATTTAATCGTATAAATCGGGCTTAATTAAAAACTTAAAAGCTAAGTTAAAAGTTACTTCGTTAGGCATTTTGTGCTATACTAAAACATTAATTTTTTCTTTAATCGTTAAGGAATAAATACAAAATTAAAAATTTGTTATTATTTGGCGACTTTTGCAAAAATTAAATGTGTAACAACCTTCGATAGCTCAGTTGGTAGAGCGGTGGACTGTAGAAGTTATAAGAATTATTGATATCCATAGGTCGCTGGTTCAAATCCGGCTCGAAGGAACTTTTTAGTCATCGTTTTATTCCAAATTTGTTATTTTTATTTATAAAAGACGTTTTATACCATCTTTAGAATTAATAATAAATTTCATAGGCAATTTAGTTTGGGTAAAGGAATTTAAATCAATATTAACAATTATGGACGAGATCGGGTTCCGGTTGGTATAAAAAAGGTTGTTATCCTCAATGGTTTTGGTGGCTGCAACAAAGCGCAACCTGCGTGGGTCCTTGTGACCTGCGGAAAGGTCGACCTTGGAGCTCCCAGACTGCTTGTCGCCGCCCGAACGGCCCGGAGGCCGAAATTCGATACTTTTCACTCGGGCCATAAAGGGAGTGCTCCTTCAGATGCCTTTTTTTTCATTTAAAAAGAACATGCCATTTATCAAGGGTTTTAGGTAGCTTTAGTATCTGTTTAGGTCATCAATGTTGTTTAAATCCTTGTTAACTTATTTTCAAAACATACAAAAAAACCACCCAAAAGTTGATTATTTATTAAAGAATTCGTTTAAGTTTAGATTTTGTACTAAAAACATAATAAAGTTGTACTTCGTATAACTCAACGCGCCCATTGTTCGTGTACATTCGATTAAATTTGTGGCGAGAACAGCCGCAGAACGTAGTAAAGAGAAAAACGGTACAGTTAGGCCATTATTCCTTGGATGGGGTAACAGTAAAAAGACCCGGCAAACAATGAACCGACGAAATGAATCCTGTAATCCGATGACATTCGGCGCCTTAACCACGGATTTTCGAACACGCGTAATCAATTGTCCGTCGAGATTACATCCAAAAAGCTGATAATAAATTTTACGGCGGATGATCGAAAATTGAACGAAAACAACGACACGCGACTTTCAAACGTTAACCCATTAACAAAATACAAGCACAAATTATTAAGAATTAAAAGACTTTTCGCCGAGGGCTGGGGTACACCTTCTCATTTAGCAGGGAGGGTGAAAAGATCAAAGGGTTTCTTTGTTATTCGTTGCTTATTATTTACGCTTTTGTTTCTTTTTTTAATTACTCTTGCCGAAAACCGCAACTGCACGTGTGGGAAGACGTTTATACTCTTATCTTTGCGGGTAAGCCGATAAGAATAGTTAAGGTCACAGTCTCCGCTATCACTGTTTACAGTTTGATTTTCAGTTACCGCTTTGGCGACTTTCACAAAAATTAAATTTTAAAAATCCTTGGTTGGTAGAGCGTTGGACTGTAGAAGATACAAGAATTATTGATATCCATAGGTCGCTGGTTCAAATCCGGCTCGAAGGAAACTCTTTTAGCAAAAATTCTTTGTTGAACTCTATTTTATGGTGTATCGCGACACCAGTGTTTACAATTTGATTTCGCGTTATCGCCTACTATTGTTCCAACATTTGATGACGTGCCGGCCAACTCTCGGTCGATTTCGCATGAAAATCGATATCTACCCGGAAATAAGCGACTTTAATGCACATCAACAAGTTAACGAGCCGCATACAATTCCCATACACCCACATCGTTAAACAATGTGTTTCTCAGATTTTACAACTTCACATAAATCAAACTATTTTTCCTTATTATGTTAGAACAAAGAAAAAAAATTTTATAATTATATTATAAAAGTCGATTATATCAGAAATTGTTTCGAACAAAAGTTGTTACAAATTCAATTTTAAATAAATAATCTTAATAAAAAAAATTGATATCTCTTCTAGTTAAAGCTGTGTACAGGTATAATTTTAATCGTATAAATCGGGCTTAATTAAAAAAGTAGATTATATTAAAAAATTTTTCAAACAAAAGTTGTTACAAATTCAATTTTAAACAAATAATCGTAATAAAAAAAATTGATATCTTTTTCAGTTAAAGCTGTGTACTGGTATCGTATAAATTATATTATAAAAGTCGATTATATCAAAAATTGTTTCGAACAAAAGTTGTTACAAATGCAATTTTAAATAAATAATCTTAATAAAAAAAATTGATATCTCTTCTAGTTAAAGCTGTGTACTGGTATAATTTTAATCGTATAAATCGGGCTTAATTCAAAAAGTCGATTATATTAAAAATTGTTTCGAACAAAAGTTGTTAAAAATTCAATTTTAAACAAATAATCTTAATAAAAAAGTTTGATATCTCTCTTAGTTAAGGTATACCCGCTAGTATAAGATAATATAATTTATGTATTATTATACATATACTTTAAAAATAAAGTTTAAATCTGATATTTACGTTGCTCTATAAAAAAAAAATTGTAAGTTAATTAACTTTGTCACTAATTGCGCTGAATTAAGATGAAGTTGAAAAACGATGTGAACCATGATGCGAATTTTTCGAAATGTAAATTGTTGAAAGCGTATATAGAGTAATTAGGTAAATGAACTCGCGCGATAAAAATCGATGAATCACGTAGCCAACGCCGGTTGCGGTGAAATAAGTAAACGCCGCCGGTGGCGGCGATTATTCAAATCGTTTCGGTTCGCGAACCATTGTTGTCGGCGGCCCTTTTTCTCCTCTTTGTTGGCGGCGTATCTAAAACGAAATCGCAGGGCCAGGAAAGCGAGTTTTTTTACAAGAAAAAAAATTAACAAAACCGTCGACGCGCCTTAAACCGCGGCCAATTAGTGAGATCTCTTAAAATGCAATTACTCGAATTCCAAGGATGTAAAATAAAATAAGTTGGGAGAGGAAAAAAGAAACGGAGGATGAAGTAGAAAAATAGGGGGACAAAATAAAAAAGATTAAAAGATGAGTAACTTTGGGTGTCGAGACACGCGTGCCTCCCCCAGGACACGTGTCAACGCCAGACATTTATTATTGTGGAGGGATTTGCCGTTTCGATGAAACAATCATCTGGTGTTTACTTTCGGTATTGCGTTTTTTTTTGGGCTCCTTTCTAGTGGAAAGCCAAAATAAATCAAAGTCGGAAACCATTAACAAGAAATAAAAAAGAACCTATTCCTGTTATTTAATCGACGCAAATAGTTTTCGAGTGTTTCTAATTATATCGAATATTTGCATATCCATCATCGGCAGAGAACCGAAAGGGTTATCACTCGCACCAAGAATAATTGAATGATTGAAGCGCGCATTTTGTATCAGTCACCCACACACTATTTACTAATTGCGGACTATTAATTACCGTTATTGTGTCCCGCTATTCAGCATCACTTTGCTATACCCCTTTTGTTACCACCCTGTATGTAAATATTTAACTTCCATTTAGGTTTTCAGATTGTCACAAAATAGTATTCACTCAAATATGTAAACAAGGTGCAAACCGATTTTGATGCATGAATTGTTACACTTACCATACATTATTAATATTGGAAAAATTAAAAAGTCGATTATATCAAAAATTGTTTCGAACAAAAGTTGTTACAAATTCAATTTTAAACAAATAATCCTAATAAAAAAATTTGATATCTCTTTCAGTTAAAGCTGTGTACTGGTATAATTTTAATCGTATAAATCGGGCTTAATTAAAAAAGTCGATTGTATTAAAAATTGTTTCGAACAAAAGTTGTTACAAATTCAATTTTAAATAAATAACCTTAATAAAAAAATTTGATATCTTTTCTAGTTAAAGCTGTGTACTGGTATAATTTTACTCGTGTATATTGGGGTTGATTAAAAAAGTCGATTATATTAAAAATTTCTTCGAATAAAAGTTGTTACAAATTCAATTTTAAACAAATAATCGTAATAAAAAAAATTGATATCTCTTTCAGTTAAAGCTGTGTACTGGTATAATTTTAATCGTATAAACTAGCCTTGATTAAAAAAGTCGATTATATTAAAAAGTTTTTCAAATAAAAGTTGTTATAAATACAATTTTAAATAAATAATGTTAATACAAAATAATTGTATCTTTTATTTTATATTATATATATAAATTAAGTTAATAAATTTAGCAAAATAAATCCGATATAAATAGAAGCCGCAATGATTTTTAACAAAATCCACCATATTGCGATAAGGTGTCATAAATCGAAGCTTTGTCGGAACACTTTCGGAACATATGATGATAAATCCGAGTTAGTCCGGAAAATCTTGTTTATACGATCAAGGTACAAATGATCAAGGTAAAAAAAATCCTCACGTAGACCGCATGAACAAAAAAAATTGTTTGTATAAATATGTTTTTAAAAACATTAGATATGAAATGCGTTTAAATAAAGAGAGTTAAAGGTGAATCATCAGTCAGCAGTTGACTAGTAGCGAGTGGCGTAAAATTAATGGTAATTATAAGTGGAATGAACTGCCAAAACGGAGGGCGGCCGCCCCCTGACATCTATTACGACGTCTGGGACGCCGATTGTCAGACGCAAATAGAACGCAAAAAGGCTCCCGTCACTTCCAGGGATACTGTTGCTAATCTTTTTGTCGTTCGTGGAACGGCTCCGACGGACTTAAACAGAAGTTAAAAGTCTTCGCCGGCACCGCCAGTCACCTATGAATGATTAAAATTAAAACCTCATCGATTCAGCACCCCTCATACATTTTTAATCATTTCTAAGAATACTTTTAAACTTTTCCAAACTTTTTCTAATTCTCATTTTTGTTTGCTGAATTTTAAGTTAATTATATTCAACGTCATTGAAACAACCACTCGAAGTGAAAGTCATCGCGTCATCAATAATCCGCGTTTGGAAAAAGTGAAAATATCGTGGGCAAAATATCTCCTACGCATTTTTTCGCGAATAACTTACTTATAGTGTTTGCCAAATTTACATTCAGTCCAACGGTAAGCATCAAATAGAAATGTTCTTATTTTTAGCGTTTGTGATAAATGTTTTTTATTCTGGAAATTGTATAATTTCTGGGAAAATAAAAAATGATCCTATTAATTTAATTTGGTAAGTTCTTATTAATTTTTTTTGTTTTGTTTTGATATATAAAATTTTTTATTAGGGATTTAACGAGTTATGCCGTTAAAAGTAGGCAATTAGAAAATAATTATGTTCCAATGATTCCTTTGGGGAACCCTCAAAACATTCTGGAAGCTATGTTTTCGATAGCACAAAATGATGATCACCTTTGTGTGCCAAAACTTTTGTGCGAAATCACGTCTGGAACATTATCTTACGGGAGACAAAGTTTTTTGCCTCAATTTAACATGGAATCGATTCTCGAAGCTTTATCAAGTATTGAAACAATCTCGCCCATCATTTTATTTGGTAGGGCAGCTTTGCTTGGATATAATTCAAAGGGAGACTCATATAGTTGTGCGCAAGCTTATCCAAAATGCCCAAGGGATCCAGATCTGTTATTAAATTATTTAAATAATCATAACGGAGGATTTTTTCGATTTTTTAATGGATTGCCACAGCAACATCAAAATGATATAGTTGGATTTAATGGGGACCATTACGGGTTCTTCCCCCAAAAAGAGAAACATGTGGGGAGAAATTTAATTTTTCCAAACAATGAAATAACCGAGAATTCTTTGGATATACAAAAACCTCTACCGAATCATATCCCGAGCAGAACGATATTTCCAATAAGAACAGGAACCGGCAGCCTTGTCATTGACGATTATGAGAACGATCGAAATAGTGGTTTTGTAAAGTTTGTATAACGCGGCAAATAAAAGGTGTTGGGGACGCATATCGAATTAATTTCGCCACGGGATTTGGGAAATCGGGAGACGGTTGGTAATCCGTACGGAATTGAAACCGGTGTCAATCCGAGGGCGGCGACATTATCTCGACTTTGGACCCTCCGAAAAACGCCGCGTTACGCAGTGACGGATTACGTTGGGGCTTAATGTCAACATCATGATTCAAATTACAGCATGGGTTAACCCGACTGCGCTCGAGGGACGCCTCAATACCTATTAATCATTCTACTAGTCGTTATCCGAAACTATCATTTTGTATCAGGTAAAAATATTAATAATCAATAAAATTCTTAAAACGATTGTGTTGTATTAGAAATTTCCACTAGTGGAGATAGAAAAAAAAACTTACGTTTTGTAGAATCTAATAAGATGACTTCACCTCGTCGTTGTTGTTGATGATTAACAATTAATTGTAACACACCCTTCGAGTGACTTTACCACATTGCATTAACAGCAATAAAATAACCTCGTCATGTGGTGTGCAATAAAATGCGCAGTAACTGTCACCAATGTTGCCAACATAAAATTTTATTAAACTCAAATATTACTAACGTTTATTTACTACAAAATAATATTAAATGATTGCATGAATTAAATACTTGAAAATGCATGAATTTGAAACGTATTGGTACACTATTAAAACAAAATTTGTACAAAAAATATTAAATTAAATTTGTTTAGGTCGACTCATCGCTTGAAATAACTATGACATCATCATCAGCATTGCCATCCCAAAAAACAATTTGAGGGGCTACATGTTCCTCTAAAAATAAATCAAAATAACTAAAAAAAATTATTTGAAATTAAAAAATTTACCAGTAGGAATTCTATATCTCATTCCCTGCAACATTTCACCGTTCACACCCAAATTAAACGAAATGTTGTCTTCACGAGGTGCAACAAATTCCATAGTTGTTCCTGTGGGTTTGCGAATTCCATAAACTTGAAAAATTGGAGCGTTATCCTGAGCAACCCACATATACACCTTGTTAGCTTCTTCCTGTACTTCAGGACGAACATGTAATTCGGGCATTAAATTTTGATTTAATGCAGCACCAGGCTCAGCATTGGATGCGTTACTATCACTTGAAATAACAATGCACTCTGCATTAGAAAGAGTCTCAGAACTTTGTTGAGGGGAAACTCCCTCAACTCCTAAAACAAAAAATAAAGTTTTAAAAAATTGCATTAAAATATTAATTTAATATTTACCTTCGACAACTTTTGTCATTTCTGCTTTTTCTATCAATTGTTTTAAAAGAGTTTTTACTCTTTCATCGTCAGGATTCTTCAACATGCCAAGAATCTCCACATCTTCATCAGATTCACTCTCGTCACGCCTGCGATTCGGGTTTTCACCATTCGAAGACATTTTGGTAAAAGCTTCGATCCTAACCCTACTTTTTGACACTTTTCGGACACTCGATGATAATTTGAGGTAATTGATGAGTTTTCGATTCAAAACTCACTTATATAGTTGATTGGGGTTCAATATTTCGTAATTAAGTCTAATTTAAATAGGAAAATAATTAAGAAACACTGATAATTGTTTGGAGATTCTTCTTCTTCTTTGTCCTTACCTTACTTTTTGACACTTTTCGAACACTCGATGATAATTTGAGAGAATCGATGAGTTTTCGATTCAAAACTCACTTATATAGTTGATTGGGGTTCAATATTTCGTAATTAAGTCTAATTTAAATAGAAAATGATTGAGAAACACCCAAAACACTGATAATTTTTTGGAGATTCTTCTTCTTTGTAAACGACAACGCAGCGGGATTTTCGAAAAGCTTCGATCCTAACCCTACTTTTTGACACTTTTCGAACACTCGATGATAATTTGAGGGAATTAATGTTTTTGGGGAACACACTAATTCAAAACTCACTTATATAGTTGATTGGGACCCAATATTTCGTATTTAAGTCTAATTTAAATAGCAAATTATTGAGAAACACCTAAAACCATAACGCAGCGGGAATTTAGCGAACTACAATCGACAGTTGTGAATTATATTTGAATTATAACCGAAAAAAGTAGTTATAGATTTCTCTCAATTAGTCTTTGAGGTACGTTTTTTTAAACTTAGTATCTTTACCAACATATATAAGGAGTGATTTTACTTCAAATATAATTCATAACCGTCAATTGTAGTTCGCAAAATTCCCGCTACAGTTTAACAAGAAGAAGAATCTCCAAACAATTGTCAGTGTTCTGGGTGTTTCTCGATAATTTTCAGTTTAAATTAGATTTAAATACGCAATATTAGTCCCCAATCAACATTATAAGTGTTTTTGAATCGGCGTGTTCCTCAAAAAACATCAAATCCCTCAAGGTATCATAGTGTTCGAGAAGTATAGAAAAGTAAGGTTAGGATCGAAGCTTTTCGATTTCGGCCATTACCAAAATGTCTTCGAGTGGTGAAAACCCGAATCGCAAGAGAATGAGGGGCGACGAGAATGAATCTGATAATGAGGTGGAGATTATTTACACGTTGAAGAATCCTGATGATGAAAAAATAAACAAGTTTTTACAAGAATGGATACGAAGAAGAGAAATGTCAAACGTTGAAGTAGTAGAAAGTAAATATTAAATTAACACTAATACAATTTTAATTTTGATTTTATCGATGAATTTGGGTTTAATTTGAAAATGTTTGTTAATTTTTGATCTTTATTTTTTGTTTTGGAAGAAAATTCTGAGAATCTTTCTAATACTTCAAGTGAAAATAGCTCTAATGTTGAGTCTGAAACAAATTTAAAGCAAAAACCTAACAAGAAGTATCAGTTTATGTTGATTGCTCGGAATAATGGTACAACTTATGAAGTTTATGAAATTAACAATACCGAAGCAACAAATGTGGAATATGTTTCAGTTGATAAAGACAACAATACGTTAAACTTTGGTATGAAGGGTGAAATTGATAAAAATGCAACGATGAAACCTACAACGTCAACTGGTAAATATTTTAATTTAAAATATTTTTTTTTTATTTATTTTGATTTATTTTTAGAGGAAAATGTATCCCCTCAAAATCATCCTTTATCCGATAATCATACCAGTACTGATAATGATGTCATAGCTAGTTCAAGCAAAAAATTTAAATCAATTTAATTTTTTGAACAAAATTTTTCTTAATAACGTTTTAAATTCCATTTTTTATATTTTTCAAGTCGATTTAATATTATTTTTTAATCAATAAACTTTAGTAATATTTAAGTTTAATCAAATTTTATGTTTTCTACATTAATGAGAGTTACTGCGCATTTTATTTCACTTCACACGACGATCTTATTTTGTTGACACCAAATATGACGATTTCGTGTTATTCTACTAAATCCAGCGCCTCGCCAATATCTTCTTATAAAAAAGTTTGTATCTTAACCAAGATGTATACGGAACGATTTTACTTCAAATCGCCGAGGTCGCTTGCGGGCGAGGCGCTAGATCTACCAAAAATGACGATGTCGTGTTATTCTATTAAATCCAGCGCCTCGCCCGCAAGCGACCTCGGCGATTTGAAGATAAATATCTTCTTATAAGAGAGCTTGTATCTTAATCAAGATATATAATGAACGATTTCGGCTCAAATCGCCGAGGTCGCTTGCGGGCGAGGTGCTAGATCCACCAAAGATGACGATATTGTGTTGATGCATTAAATCCAGCGCCTCGCCCGCGAGCGACCTCGGCGATTTGAAGATAAATATCTTCTTATAAGAGAGTTTGTATCGTAACCAAGATATATAATGAACGATTTTGCCTCAAATCGCCAAGGTCGCTTGCGGGCGAGGCGCTAGATCCACCAAAAATGACGATGTTGTGTTATTCTATTAAATCCAGCGCTTCGCCCGCAAGCGACCTCGGCGATTTGATGATAAATATCTTCTTATAAGAGAGTTTGTATCGTAACCAAGGTATATAATGAACGATTTCGGCTCAAATCGCCGAGGTCGCTTGCGGGCGAGGCGCTAGATCCACCAAAGATGACGATATTGTGTTGATGCATTAAATCCAGTGCCTCGCCCGCAAGCGACCTCGGCGATTTGAACATAAATATGTTCTTATAAGAGAGTTTGTTTCGTAACCAAGATATATAATGAACGATTTCGCCTCAAATCGCCGAGATCGTTTGCGGGCGAGGCGCTAGATCCACCGAAGATGACGATGTCGTGTTGATTTATCAAATCCAGCGCCTCGCCCGCAAGCGACCTCGGCGGTTTGATGATAAATATCTTCTTATAAGAGCGTTTGTATCGTAACCAAGGTATATAATGAACGATTTCGGCTCAAATCGCCGAGGTCGCTTGCGGGCGAGGCGCTAGATCCACCAAAGATGACGATATTGTGTTGATGCATTAAATCCAGTGCCTCGCCCGCAAGCGACCTCGGCGATTTGAACATAAATATGTTCTTATAAGAGAGTTTGTTTCGTAACCAAGATATATAATGAACGATTTCGCCTCAAATCGCCGAGATCGTTTGCGGGCGAGGCGCTAGATCCACCGAAGATGACGATGTCGTGTTGATTTATCAAATCCAGCGCCTCGCCCGCAAGCGACCTCGGCGGTTTGATGATAAATATCTTCTTATAAGAGCGTTTGTATCGTAACCAAGGTATATAATGAACGATTTCGGCTCAAATCGCCGAGGTCGCTTGCGGGCGAGGCGCTAGATNCGTTACTCATTTGTTTTCTGAATTAAAAACAATTGAATACAGTCTTATTATGGCAAATCAAATATTAAACAACTTTTGTATAAAATGTTTTTTTATAAAGTTGATACCTACCAAGATATATACTATATTCCATACATAATGGGTACCATGTATATGCGATTGTTGCTAATTTTATTGTTAATATTTAACCTGTTTCTGTACTTTTTGATATTATCGGAAACGTAGGTGTGATTAAATCTATTGGATTCTTTGTTTGAATCTACATTCGAGTGAATACATTTTAAAACCTTTGGGGTTGAAGGAAGGAAACTCTGAAATTGACGATTTCGTGTTGATGTAGCAAATCCAGCGCCTCGCCCATAATCGACCTCAGCGGTTTGAGGGTAAGTGTTTTCTTATAAGAGACTTGTATCCTTACCAAGATGTAAGGAACGATTTTATTCCAAATCGCCGAGGTCACTTGCGGGCGAGGTGCTGCATTTGGTACATTAGCACGAGATCATCGGATTTGGAGAAATCCAGCGCCTCGCCCGCAAGCGACCTCGGCGGTTTGATGATAAATATCTTCTTATAAGAGAGTTTGTATCGTAACCAAGATATATAATGAACGATTTCGGCTCAAATCGCCGAGGTCGCTTGCGGGCGAGGCGCTAGATCCACCAAAGATGACGACATTGTGTTGATGCATTAAATCCAGCGCGTCGCCCGCAAGCGACCTCGGCGATTTGAGGATAAATATTTTCTTATAAGAGAGCTTGTATCTTAATCAAGATATAATGAAAGTCAGTTGGTAGCAAATATTTATTGTGCTCAATTTTTTATTAACTTAATTTTGTGTTGAGTTAATCGTTTTTAACTTATTGAGTTTTTTTTTTATGATTATGGATAAGATTAGGGTGTAAGAAAAGGTGTGAAGAAATAAAAAGCATTGTTTATTTTTTTTACTATAATTACTAATTTCATTATTTTTTAATACTATAAAAGTGAAAAATGCCTACTATGAAAGACTGTTGGTAGTAAAGACGTGCGCGCAGGACACTGGGCGACACTAAAAATACAATGACAGTGTTACGCTATACAAAAGGAGGCATGTTTCGACGAAAAAGAGTAGGAGAACTAAGACATACAGTACTAAAAACAAACGTATTACGTAAAAAACTAATCTCACTGACCGCGTTCGTGGAAAAAGCGAACGCGGTCTTGGTCCTTTATGTCATGTACATACAATCATTGGAGGAAAAAAATGTATATGCGGAGTAATTTTTGTAAAATTTGTTATTTTTTTAATAATAATAATATTAAGTTTCTTACGTTTACAATCACACAGACAGTATTATTTATATTGAACTATGTTGGGCTCTCTAAATAAATAATCCATGCTATTGGGTTACGATTACACTGATGACACTGTTTGAGTAGGAAAAATTTCAAAAAAAAAAAAAAAAAATTGATAGAGTTGCGGATGTACATACAATTGACACAAAAAATAAAATGAACAAAATTATGGCGTTCCCATACTATAAAATTATGAAACATAACGTAAAAAAAATAAAATAAAAACAACTCGTTTGACTAGGGAACAGTGTAAAAAAACATTTAGCAAAATGTATTCTGAGATCAGCATTTAACAGTACTTAGTAAAAATCACAGAGACGCTTTGAGAGCGGTCTATATTTATGCAGTTTTTTTTTAAATATTTTTTCTTTATTTTACGCTACTGCTAACTAAACTAACAATTGCATTAAAAATTTTTTTCGTTTAAAAATATCGGCATCTATACATATAATGAGTTACAATATATATGCACTAATATTTTATAATAGTAAAAAAATACAACCGGAAACTGTCGAAACGAAATCAATCTCAGCGACCTTTCTGCAACTGCAGCGAACGTTTACATATGGATAATATATACATGCTTTCAGCTTTTCCACTGCAATAATGCGTCATCTAACTACAGAGATCATTTGAAAACCATTTAAGGCAGATCAATTCGCTGCCTAGAACATTATAGACAAACCAACAAAAATCATAAAAAAAAGTCAGACTCATAGTAGCAAAAGCATGGGACACTATCGCATATTTTTTTCTCAATCTTTGGCTATAGTGAATCCAACTTTAATTGAAAAAAATAGAAAATATAATAGACAAGAAAACTAAAAACTACAAATTATTAAAAAAAACGACGCTATTTACAATAATTACAAAAAACATTTAGGTTATATATATATTTATATAATGTCGTAATGGGAACAAAATAAACAAAATAAAATTCCTGAGTAGAGACGGTTACTCAGAGGGTAAACGAGATCATCCGTTTTTGATTGGGCCCTTCTCTCGTCGAGGGACGCGCACGCTTACACATTAAAAAAAATTAAAACGTTATAAGCTACTGGATAAAAATTAAAACCCCTATAGACGCGTTTTCAAACAAACAAATAAACGTAAAAAAGAAAAAAACACTATACTCAATTTGGTTTTGGGTGCTGCTACTCTTTGCTTCTGCTGCTGCTGCTTACTTCCTTTCGCCTTCCTTTAAAACACTTTCCATTTTTTATTACTTGCCGAGTTACCGATTTCGTAACAGATGCCATCCAACGCACAGCACCGCCGTACAAATCGAACTCACCATCACTGGCATTGACAATATCTTGGAAAATGTTCCTTTTCGTTCTTTTGATGTTGACAATCTCGAACAACAAGGTAATGACGAATCGACTTCATCTACATCATCTACCTCCTATAACAAAAAAAAAAACTTAATAAAAAAATATTGAATTAAATTATGATTTTATAAACATCAACTAATTACTAAAACAAGATACGTCGTTTAATTTTCAAATGACCTTGTATAATAATAAAAACTAGTCTAGGAAGAGATAAGTTGTTGTGTGTTTTAACGATTTAGAATTATTTAAAGTAGATAACGAATTTTTATTATTTGTTGATTTTAAGTAAACTCGAACAAAAAAAGTGTTGAATAAATATTTTTATACATAAACCGATTTTATTACAAAATTCTTTTTTTTTTTTTTAATTTTCTTTCAATTTTTGTTTTTGTTTGTGGAATTTTTCTCGTCGAATTCTGATGAAAGATAGCGAAAGAGGTGGAAGTAACAAAGGCCCAAGGTCGGACCTCTCGAGTAACCCGAAGGCCCGTTAGGTAGGTGCGCGCGTAAAAGAGAAAACGTTAAAGGCGTACGAGAAACCGTGCGGAACCAAACTTCTATTTTCGCGGCATGGACCTATTTCTGGCTGCGAATATGACCAAGAGGAGGTCGGATCTGAGTCGATTTGGTTGACTAAACGCAAAACAAACAATCCACAAAATAAAAATAAAAAAAAGAAAGAAAGCTACTCATCGATAAACAAAAATTAATTTCACAATATTTAATCTTATTACATTTAAAGATATTTTTTTTTTTTTATTATTAAACAAGTTAGAACGTGTTGAGGAAAAAAAAAATAAAGTTTTTTTTTTAAAGACTACTAACTTCCAATGTCAATGACGTGTAGAGTAAACGTGATGTGGATTTATATTGTTACAAAGACCACTCTTTACGTGAGATGTTTACGTGACAACAAAGAGTAGTTGTATAGATGATGATATTGCAAGTATGTATAATGAAAAGATAAGTTTTAAACGCAATTATTTGTTATGTAATACTTTTTGTTTATTATGTACTTACCTCAAATGCAGCCGATTCGAATTCGTCAGCAATTTTTCTTAATTCGGTACCAACGCGTTTCCACCGTTGGTTTTGCGCTTCCTTGGCGGCTGAGTTAGAGTTGGAGGAATCATCGTGATGAGTAGGACTCTTGGGCCAACGACGTCGTGGTCTTCGGGAAGTATGGAGAGCGTCCGAGAGTGCGGACAACATCCGTCCATCGGCGGCGCGTCCAGACGCTACGTACAAACTTTCATTAAACTTTCAACAAAAACTTTTTTTGATACGATTTTTACGATAAACAGACGGACCACGGGCCAAGTGTAAGACGTTTCCGTGGTTCGTCCCATCATTTCTGCAGCAACAGGTCCCGGTCGCGCACTTTCCCCCCAAAAAGAAGAACCAAAAGCAACGCACCGCACTGCACTTTTGTTAACATCTATAAACAAGTCGACACGTCGAAGAACGTCGTCGACTCCTCTCTTAGTCTTACCTCTAACGCTGGTGGTATCTTCTCTTCGTGTTGTCACGACCTCTTCCTGACGATGATGATTTTGCTGTTGGCGCACGATGAGCAATTGTTGAAGAAAATCGTAAAGTTCACGAAGACGTTCCGGAGAAACCGGAGGTTGTCCGGGGACGGCAAATGGAATAGCCATATTTATCAAAAAAAATTAAAACGAAAATTATTTTCTTTTTAATTTTTTTTAACTCTATCAATTCAGTTCAGAAAATCTAAGTCTTTACTCGCGACGTCGTGTTTAAAAAACGCACATTCGTTGTCGGTCGACGTGACGACGTCGACGACGGCCGGGATGACAGTGAACGCGTTCGGCGCTCGACGAGGTTTCTATCTTGCTGGCGGCGGGAGCACGAGCGTCCCATTGGCGTACGGCGCCTGGGCGGAGCGACGAAACGCGACGCTTATTGTGCCACGGTTGCCGAAACGTCTCTTCAATTCTAGGCTAAAGTGGGGGCCCCCACGGTATTGTTTCTCGGTTTAAACTTCCACAAGTTAATACCGAACTGTGTTACTACGTTCAGGTTGACAAGAGTTCATCGTCGTATTTTAAATACTTCAGACACAACAACACCATGATATACAAAAATTAATATTATTGAAATTTTTTCTAATTCAAAATTGTCCCTGATGATGAGTACACCCCGAAACACGTAAAAAAATTGGCAACTTCTAATTTTAATTTATTAATAATTTTTGTGAAAAATTTTCATAAAAAGTTCCTCAATTATCAAAAATTGAAAAAATATCCGTTTACAAAAATTATATTTAGTTCCTAAGATATGAATTAATAATAATAACATAAACAGTTCGGTTTTTGATTAATTTAAAAAAAAACAAGAAAACTATATAATTAAAATTTTTTGTAATTCAATGTTGTTCCTGATGATGAATACACTCCGAAATCGGTAAAAAAAAAATAAAATTAAAAAAATATCGACAACTTTTAATTTTAATTTATTAATAATTTTTATGAAAAATCGAATACTTTATAATATATACTAACTTATATATTATACTTAATAAAATTTTTATAAAATATTCACCAATTATAAATAAAAGTATTAGCTTTCCAATGCAAGTTGTCGTTTATAAAAATTATTTGTAGTTTGTGAGATATGAGTTAATAATAATAACATAAAGTTCGCTTTTTAATTAATTTTAAAAAATCTAAAAAATTGGTTTCTTTGAAAATGTGATAAAACATCCATGGAATGATTAAATTAAAGCTCTACTTTCCAATAAAAAAGGCCGTTTTGAAAAATAACTTTTAGTTTTTGAGATATGATTTTTTTTAGAAACAAGAAAACTGATATTTATTATTTTATATAATTTTTATGAAAAATCGAATACTTGACAAATTTTTATAAAATAAATTATAAAAGAAAGTCTCAGCTTTCCGATGCAAGTTGCCGTTTACAAAAATTATTTTTAATTCCTGAGATAAATTAATAACAAAAACTTAAATTGTTCGATTTTTGATTAATTTTAAAAAAATTCTAAAAAATCGGTTTCTTTGAAAATGTGATAAAACATCCATGAAATGATTAAATTAAAGCTTCTACTTTCCAATAAAAAAATCCGTTTTAAAAAATAAGTTTTAGTTTTTTAGATATGAGTTTTTGAAGATGACCCTAATTTTTAATATGATGCGATTGTTAGAAAAAATTGGTTTTTTGAAAAATTTTTATAAAATTTTCACGAAGTATCAATAAAAGTATGCGCTTTCCAATGCAAGTTGATGTTTACAAAAATTATTTTTAGTTTCTGAGATATAAATTAATAATAATAACAAAGTTCGATTTTTGATTAATTTTAAAAAAATTCTAAAAAATCGGTTTCTTTGAAAATGTGATAAAACATCCATGAAATGATTAAATTAAAGCTTTTACTTTCCAATAAAATAATCCGTTTTAAAAAATAACTTTTAGTTTTTGAGATATGAGTTTTTGAAGATGACTAATTTTTAATATGATGCGATTGTTAGAAAAAATTGGTTATTTGACAAATTTTTATAAAATCCTCACGAGGTATCAATAAAGTATGCGCTTTCCAATGCAAGTTGCCGTTTACAAAAATTATTTTTAGTTTCTGAGATATAAATTAATAACAATAACAAAGTTCGATTTTTGATTAATTTTAAAAAAATTCTAAAAAATCGGTTTCTTTGAAAATGTGATAAAACATCCATGAAATGATTAAATTAAAGCTTCTNTTAGAAACAAGAAAACTGATATTTATTATTTTATATAATTTTTATGAAAAATCGAATACTTGACAAATTTTTATAAAATAAATTATAAATGAAAGTCTCAGCTTTCCGATGCAAGTTGCCGTTTACAAAAATTATTTTTAATTCCTGAGATAAATTAATAACAAAAACTTAAATTGTTCGCTTTTGGATTAATTTTAAAAAATTCTAAAAAATCGGTTTCTTTGACAATGTGATGAAACACCCGTGAAATTATTAAATTAAAACTTTTACTTTTCAATAAAAATATCCGTTTTAAAAAACAACCTTTAGTTTTTGAGATATGATTGTTTTTTAGAAACAAGAAAACTCTGATATACCAAAATTTATACATATATATATATATATATATATATATAATTGAAATTTTTTGTAATTCAAAGTTGTTCCTGATGATGAATAGACTCCGAAACCGGTAAAAAAATAAAATTAAAAAAATATCAACAACTTCTAATTTTGATTTATTTTTTTATAAAATCTTATTTTGATTATTGCCGATTTAAAAAATTAACTTTAGTTTCTAAGAAATAATTTTTATATATACAATTTTATAAATTTATGAAAAATCGAATTCTTAAAAAAACGAATTAACAAACAATAGATATAAATTAGAAAAATTACATAATAATATTATTAATATATTTTTTTTATTTCTTAACCTCTTTCATTTCTCCTCTTTGGTAGTTTGCGTCTCTGTTTCATTGGCACTCTCTTCACCTTGCTTTTTCTTCTCTTGATACAGAACTCGATTCCCTTTTTATTACCACGTTTAACAGCGTTTTGTTTTGTCTTCGTTATACGGTTCCTTCTTTTATTTTACTTATAAATTATTCTTTAGGTGCTTTTGTTTACCTCAACTCGGCGCAAGCCTTAAAAAGTGATTGTTAAAAAATGTTTATCTTAATTTTTTTATGAGACATAAAAAAATGTTTACCTGGAGTTAATCGCGGTATTGGGATGAAAAAGAAAACTTGTACTAACAGGTTCTAACAGGACATTTAAAGGGTTTATAACTCAATATCCATAAATAAGGTGGATTTTTTTTGTAATTTTTATATCTATTTGGGCAGTTTGAGATTCTCTGCAAAACTTTTGGCCCGCGAAGAACTTTTTTTAAATAATAAAAAAGAGTAACATGTTCTCCTTTGGAGATTGGGAGGGCAGCCTTTGGGCCAACACCAAGCAGACAATCTTATACCTGAAACGGTGAGTCACGCTTGCAGAAGACGACTTGAGAACATTAGCGACGGAGATGACTCAACCAGTAACCATTCAAGGTCAACTGAGACCGTCTAATATATATTTACTCGGCTCTTTTAAGCTAAACTCTCTAGCTGCGGAGGAGACTCTAGCGAACTAGGTAGAGATATCGAGGCGAGAAAAGGAAGAAAAAGAAAGAACAAAAAAATAAAGGAGGAGAAGAAGAAAAGGAAAAAAACGAAGATGCGGCGGAACAGGCGGCCGTTATGGGGCCCGTAAAAAGATGAGTCGAGGATGAGGCCCTGGAGTGGATATCGAAAACGACCGAATCTGGTGGAAAAGACACCTGCAAGAGCAAAACCCCTCCAGTTTATTTTTTTTATTCTCTTTCTCATTTCATTTTTTTTTCTAACCGAACCTGTCGATGAGTCATACTAGAAATATCTGTTTTAAAAACATTTTTTTTGTTTTAAAACAATTTTTATTATTTTAAAACAATTTTTTATTTAACACATTTATTTTTGTAATAATTTTTCGATCAATCAAAAAAACGGGTGTAAATATGTAAATCAAGCCGTCCAGTTTACCGTAAACGTCAGAAATTACGGGCGACCCTTATCTGATGGGGCCGCGGGCTCTGGGCGAATAATTAACAAAGTCGCCGTATAATTTTGTGTAAGACAGGTAGCACCGCGTGTTTCCGCTAATCGCCGACCGAAGAAGCAACAATAAACGCATCTGGGACCGCACCATTGAACCGGTTCGAAGTCAAAAACCGACCAGATGATATTTTACTCTTTAACCGACAAAAACTCAACGCTCGGTTACCCGACCCATCGTATTCTTTCTCTTCTCAACAACTCGATTAGAACATAATCTTTAATAATATGATCGCTAAGGAAATTATTCTTGAGTAATAAAATTCGAAATCTTCTACATTGTATTATTTATACACCATAAAAAATCGTTTTTGTTACAATATAGTTAGGGTTAGACCCCTAAATTTAAATTGAGCTTAAAGGGTGATATAAAAAAAGGGATATACTATATATCCCAACGAGTACTTTTGTCAACAATCTGTTAATGACTGGTGACAGTGTTTACTTTCGATTATTAATGATGCGACAGGGTGGATTTGCATAACCGCTCCGAGACAACCCCGTATGCAGGTAAAAACTTTCTTAATCAATTCTTTTGTCAGCAAGGAAACCTAACGACTTCTCACCGTCGCTCAAAAATCTAAAAATAAAATAAATTTAAACGATTTCATCGCAATAATAATATTATCTAACTGTTTCCTCCCCCTTTAGTTTTGTTGTAATCGGCGAATCGTCAAGATGAACACACTCGTAGTCGTTGTAACTTTTTTTCTAAGGGTGCGTCAGTTCTATCCACAAGCTCGGCCCTTGAGTAATTGTTTTCGGTGTCGGAAGCAATGGAATTGGGACGACCAAAGTGGGGCGTTGTAAAATATCTTATATAAGGGCTGACAACTGGATGCGGGCATCGAGCGAAGTGTATTTTCACCAAGAGGACACGTACTCATCAAAAAGGACTAGCAACGAACGCAAGGGTAAGAAGGGGAAGGACAGATTTTTAGTGCCTCGTTATAGGAGTTTTAAAGCTCACGTTTTACGGGGGTTATTTTATAAACATACCCACTGACTACTAAACACAAAGCTTTTTTAGAAACAAGAATACTCTGATATACCAAAATTTATACATATATATATTTAATTGAAATTTTTTGTAATTCAAAGTTGTTCCTGATGATGAACACACTCCGAAATCGGTAAAAAAATAAAATTAAAAAAATATCGACATCTGATTTTAATTTAATATATATTATTTAATCT